TCTCTCTCTCTCTCTCTCTCTCTCTCTCTCTCTCTCTCTCTCTCTCTCTCTCTCTGTGTGTGTATCTGTCTGTATCTGTCTGTATCTGTCTGTCTCTCCAGCCGCCTTTACTGTTGCCCTCGCTGTCTTTTTTTGTTTTTTTTTTTTGGATGTGTTTTTCCGTCCCCAGTGACCGTCGTTCTCGGGCCGGGGAGCGCGCAAGAAACACGCTTTGAATGTTTACTTTGAATGTTTTCACTTCTGACCGGCTGGTGACAACGAATCATGAAACCATTCCAAGTTAGAGGTGGTGAGGTGTTTCCAGGCAAATCGTGGAAACATTGAAACATTCAAAGAAAGGCCTTCCGTCTTCAACACGGCTAGAAAAGATCTGTCTGTCTATTTTTGCGCGTTTTTATTGATTGGTTAAAAAAAATAAATGCTGAACAATATGCGTGGAGGCATCTGAGCATTTCGAGTTTTTTTTTTTTTTTTTTTTTTTTTTGGTTGTCCAAATGCCCCAGGTTGTTGTAGTGGTCGGATTTAAACTCTGGACTGCGGTATGTTTGCTGGTACGGAATGTGGTCCGTACGTTGGCCGGTCAGGAATGTAGTCCATACGTTTGGTAATCCCTTTTTTTTTTTTTTTTTTTTTTTTTAGCGCCCCAGGTTGGTTGTATCGTTGGTCGGTTTCAGACTCTGGAGTGTGGTATGTTTCCTGCTTTGGAATGTGGTTCGTATGTTTTGTGGCTTTGACGGTGGTGAAGTCTGGTCCGGCCCGGGGTTTGTAGTCCGGAATGTAGTCGGGGGGCTAGGTCCCACTTACACGAATCAAGCGAGATTGACCGTAGATAGCAAAGATCAACGGCCAGAATCTCTTAATCACCGTGCAAGTGGGACCTTGCCCCGGGGGACTGTAGATCGTTTGCCAGTCTGTTGGTCTCGCGCGCCACGGTTTAATAAATATCGAGTGGCAGCTTTAAGATCTGAGCCAAATTGAGCAAAAAAAAAAAAGCAGCAGCTACTTTTGTGCTTCGCTAGTCTAAGACTGCATCCGGAAGTTCGGTCACGAAATTCGATTCGGTCCGCAATGTGGCCCGGGATGTGGCCCGGGATGTGGCCCGGGATGTGGTCCGGCGTGTGGTCCCGATTGTAGATGGCTTGCCAGTCTGTGATTTTTTAATTATTATTATTGTTTTTTTTTTTGTTTTTTTTTTTAAACCATCAGCTAGCCTTGGTCGGGATAGTGATACGAGCATCTATCCCAAGCAGGCTGCCTGTTGACTCCATCCAATCTATTGGTGGGGAGCTGCACCTGCTGGAAAACGGGTCCAGCGTCCCTTATACATAGTTTTTTCGGGAAGATTATGAGAAGTATTTGAATGTGTTAGATCACCATTAGTTTTTTCGGGAAGATTATGAGAAGTATTTGAATGTGTTAGATCACCATCTTGATATTGCTATTTTCTTTATTGTTGCGGGTCATATGTACCGTACAAACTTTGGGTACATAGTTTTTTCGGGAAGATTATGAGAAGTATTTGACTGTGTTAGGTACATAGTTTTTTGGGGAAGATTATGAGAAGTATTTGACTGTGTTAGAACTTAGAAGATGAGGCTTGGCTGTGTCTGTTATCTTTCCAGTCTGTCCTTCGATAGACTGCCTCTGCAAGTTCGGTCCCGAGTTTGGTCCGTACATGCGGGCCAAAATAAAGTACGTACACGCTCGGTGGGTACCCGTCTTAAGCTGAATACAACGTACGGTCGCAATTGGATGACTGTTTGTGGCGATCAGTCTACGAGTGCCACCTGGTCGAAGTTCTCTTTTTTTTTTTTTTTTTTTTTTTTTTTTTTGGTTGATGGAAGTTACCTTTGTATACGTAAGGGGCTGTTTTGGTTCTTCTCTACCACCTGCGAAGTCTACGACCGTTTTCACGCGAACTGAAAGCCTGGTCAGGGGCGTGGTACCACTAGCAAAGAGGATTGGATTGAACACCTGAATCTGGACTTGGTTTGTGGAAAGGTGCAGAATGTCGAGATTGAACTGCTTTTCCGCTTCTCTGCTTAAAACACGTCCAGATTCAGGATATTTATCCAACCCTCTTTGCTAGTGGAACCTCACCCCAGGGGTGAAGGTTGGTTGGCCCAAATACAGCAATAATGACCGGGCGTTGCATTCCGGTATGCCTTTCGTCTCTTGATGTTTTTTAATTGTTTTTTTTTAATTTTCCTTCTCGGGAAAATTTGTTCTTAGCCTCACGTTTGAGCTGAATCCGTAATGACTAGATCCGTTTTTGCCAAATAGCTAGGCTACCAGAGTCGCCCGGGGTCACTTGCCCGGCCGGGGCAAACAAAATAAAAAAATATTTAATAAGAAAATAATAATATTTTATTTATTTATTTTTATTCTAAATTTGGTGAAGAATTTCGATGTGACCCTGAGGCAAAAGTTGTTCAGTTTATTTTTCTGCATAACATAGTTTTTTTTTTTGCTTTTTTGAATTACACACGCACACACTAGCCTTCGAATGTCAGAAAAGACTCTGAAACAGAGCTTTCTTTCTTTCTTTTTTTTTTTTTTGGGTAGGGGGAAGCTTTCAATTCTGCGGTTTCAGTAATAAGTATGTGACTATGATAAGATGATGACGATAAGCATGATGATGATAGTAAGATGGAGATGTTGAGCAGGGAAAGAGGCGCACTGTGATGATTAAGACAACGAAGGCGACCAGCAAGAAGTGAGAAACATCATGATGATGGTGAAATCGTGACGATGACGAAGATGACAAGATGACGAAAATGACGAAGATGAAGATGAGGATGGCGAGCAGGAAGAGAGGGACGAATTATCTCCTTTTCTTCTTTTCCTTTCATTTCCGTTTTATTTCACTTCCATTTCCGTCGTTGCTGTCCAGATGCCGCAATTTTTGTCACATAGCAAGTAGCCGCTCTTCTCTGTAACTGGCAAGCAAGAAACGAACTGGCTTGCGCGTTCATATGTATGCGTGCGCGCGTGTATGTGTGTGTGTGTGTGTGCCTCGGTGTGTGTCTCTATGTGTGTGTGTGTGAGAGAGAGAGAGACAGAGAGAGAGAGGCTAGGACGGGTGGTGTGCGGCGGCTACCGGATTATAATGGGTTAGAGAGGAGAGTTCCGAGCTCCAAGTTCCAAGTTCCGAGTTCCGAGTTCCGAGTTCCCAGTTCCAAGTTCCGAGTTCCGAGTTCCGAGTTCCGAGTTCCAAGTACCGAGTTCCAAGTACCGAGTTCCGAGTTCTAAGATCCGAGTTCCAAGTTCCGAGTTCCAAGTACCGAGTTCCGAGTTCTTTTTTTTTTTTTTTTTTTATATCTAAGATCCGAGTTCCAAGTTCCTAAAATCTGGTCAGAGAAGAGAAAAGAGAGAGAGGGAGACAGACGTAGGGGATGCCAGCCATTGCCAGGGGCTTTCTTTCTCCGCCGGGTGTTATTCTAAAAAACAGAGTCTACTTTGGCTGTGAGGAGGGAGGAGGGAGGAGGGAGGAGGCGAGGCGAAGCCATAGCTTGCCTTGGCATCTCCGAGCTTCACTCATATTTTTTCTTTATGGGATCATTGCGTTTTAGATTTCTGCACATTCTTGAGTACCCTGTTCGTTCGCGGTTTAAGTGTTTCATGCGTGATGGTCAGACGACGAGCGAGCTGACTTTTCTTTTTTTTGGGCGCTGAGATGTTATCTTGAACTGACCGTTGGCAGGTAGTTCGGAATTTCTCGGTCGTGGGTTTGTGTCTGGATTCGAGCTTGGTTTCTGTATTGCAATTTCAACAGTTTGTGGGTGTACCCACAGAGCAAAAATAAGGTCGTCGGTGACTTGCTCTGCTCCCTCAGGGAGCCTATTTTTCCGCTGTGGGTACACCCTCAAACTGAAATTGATTAATTTCATTAGACTCGTTATTTATTAGAAGTTATTAATGCAATTAGTGTAATTACTGGATGGACACCCATCTGACTCCACCCCCGGATTTGAGCTCGTGATCAGCCTTTCAATATTTATTAATCACGTTTTTTTTTTTTTTTTTTTCCCCTTAGCTTCTCCCGATGAACCACTGATCAGAACAGATGCTAGAGCTGGGGCTAGGTCCCACTTACACGTATTAAGAGATATTGACCGTAGATAGCAAAGATCAACGGCCAGAATCGCGTAATCCGTGCAAGTGGGACCTTGCCCCTGGTGTCCCAATGGTAAAACTGAGGGTGGGAGGACAACAGTCGTTCGACCGGTATCCCGATCCCAGTTAGCCATAGCCTGGATATGCGACCTTGGAAGAGTAGAGAAGATCAACGGCTAGAACTCCTCCCCCGGCCGCGGGAGGTTCCACTAACAACTTGAAGGACGATTGGACTGAACGCCTGAATCTAGACGTGTTTCTCAGAGAGGTGCAGAAAATCGCTATTCATCTGTTCTGCATCTCAGCATAAAACACATCCAGATTCATGACTCGAAAATCCTTTTTTTCCGGTGGGACCTCGGATTGAACGSCTGAATGTGGACGTGCTCCAAGACAGGTGCAGAACGTCTCGAGCCATCTGGTTTTCTGCATCTCTGCATAAAACACATCCAGATTCATGACTCGAAAATCCTTTTTTTCTGGTGGGACCTCGGATTGAACGGCTGAATGGGGACGTGTTCCAAGCGAGTTGCAGAAAGTCTCGAGTCATCTGGTTTTCTGCATCTCTGCATAAAACACATCCAGATTCATGACTCGAAAATCCAATCCTCTGTTGCTGGTGGGACCTCGTCCCCGGAAAAATAACCAACGGGCTTACCTCGGATTGAACGCCTGAATGTGGACGTGTTCCAAGACAGGTGCAGAAAGTTGCGAGTCATCTGGTTTTCTGCATCTCTGCATAAAACACGTCCAGATTCAGGAACTTAATCCAATCCTGTTTTGCTGGTGGGACCTCGTCCCCGGAAAAATAACCAGAGGGCTACGCGGGAGCGTCAAGCAGCAATATGGGTAAACCTTGGGGCTTTCCTTTTTTTTTTTTTTTTTTTTTTTTCAGGCTTTCCTTTTCGAATCCTGGGAAATGGATGCTCATTGCTCAGAAAAACAAGCGTATTAAAAAAAAAAAAAGCGTAAATAGAAAAAAAAAAAGAAAAAAAAGAGGAAAGTAGGGATCTTGGGATCTTTGGTAAGACCGATTTTCCTGCAATTTAAAACTTTCGATAGAAAAGATCCTTAGAATTAATTACTAATGGGCGTTCGTCGCAATATCCACCTTTCTCCGCCTTTTGGCCAAAAACCAGTCTAGATCAATTGCAGAGTATCAGATTCTGTTCTTCCGATCAGGGTTTTTTTTTTTTTTTTTTTTTTTTTGTGGGGAGTTCCGATCAGTTTGGTATCTGCTCCATGGTTAATCGGACCATTAGTTTTTTTTTTTTTTTTAAAAGGACGTTCGTCACGTTCGTCGCACACTATGTGTGTGAACATTTGTCGCACACAGGACGTTCTTTGCACCAAAGGGTCTAATTTTGTTTTGACTCAGAGTGCATTTTTGTTTTGTTCTTTTTTTTTCTTTTTTTTTCCCTTTTCCTTTGACTTAGAGTCTGTGTCAAAGGAAATCGGTCAGTCTCTCTTTAGCAAGCTTTCGGGATTTAGCGTTCCTCCTCTCTCTCTCTCTCTCTCTCTCTCTCTCTCTCTCTCTCTCTCTCTCTCCTTTTTTTTCTTTTTTTTTCCCTGTTGGTCGACGATGGAGGAAGGCGATGTATTAGTACGTAGTACGCAGGGAGGCTTTGGGCTCAGGAAGGAAGCTCAAGGCTCGTTTTTTTCACAATCATGACCTTAAAACGCATACCAAGGTCGAAAGGTCGATGCGTGGAGCGCACAGTGCTCTGCGTTCTTTCTAGAGTCAAACTGTTGTAACACCGCGGCCCTACCTTTTGACTCTAGAAAGCTAGCGCACATCATAGCGATCGATGTTTACGAGATAATTCCATACTAGATCCACTATACCTGCACAAAAGAAACTCTAGCCATTCGTGGCCAATTCTTCCTTCCTTCCTTGCTTCTTCTTCTTCTGCGCATTTGTGAGCAGTGTCTATGTCAATGTCAATGTCTATATGTCTATGTGTATATGTCTTCGTCGGCATGTCTGTATATGTCTATGTGTGTATGTCTTTGTCTGTATGTCTGTTTGTGTGTGTGTTGTCCTGTTCGCTACACACTCAAAAAAAAAAAAGCATGACTGCGCCAGAGGTCTGTTTTGTCGGACTTTCACAGACTCATCAGGAGGTTGAACCTGGACGGACAGTCTGCCCATGATGCATTTGAATGTTGGATAAGGACTCACCACTTTGCCCAGAGTTAGCCATACCCCTCAAAGAGAAACGTGGTCCTCTTTACTCACACCAATCCTCAATCCTAGCAGACTGTCGGTTCGAACCCCTGACTAGAATGGCAGTAAAAGAGAGAGAGAGAGAGAGAGAGAGAGAGAGAGAGAGAGAGAGAGAGAGAGAGAGAGAGAGAGCGTGTGCTTGTGTTTGGGTGTGTGTGTGGGT